CCCGCACACGTTCCGTGGCCCCATAAGGAGCTCCACCGAAGGCCCCAGTGGCTGCGTTCGCATGCGGTTCCGCCCCCGATTCTGGCACACCCCTCACACGCTTCGTGGCCCCATAGGGAGCTCCACCGAAGGCCCCAGTGGCTGCGCTCGCACGCGGTTCCACCCCCATTTCGGCACACCCCTCACACGCTTCGTGGCTCAATAGGGAGCTCCACCGAAGGCCCCAGTGCCACCGAAGGCCCCAGTGGCTGCGTTCGCATGCGGTTCCACCCCCCATTCTGGCACACCCCTCACACGTTTCGTGGCCCCATAGGGAGCTCCACCGAAGGCCCCAGTGGCTGCGCTCGCATGCGGTTCCACCCCCATTTCGGCACACCCCTCACACGTTCCGTGGCTCCACAGGGAGCTCCACCGAAGGCCCCAGTGGCTGCGTTCGCATGCGGTACCACCCCCAATTCTGGCATACCCCTCACACGTTTCGTGGCCCCATAGGGAGCTCCACCGAAGGCCCCAGTGGCTGCGCTCGCATGCGGTTCCACCCCCCATTCTGGCACACCCCTCACACGTTTCGTGGCCCCATAGGGAGCTCCACCGAAGGCCCCAGTGGCTGCGCTCGCATGCGGTTCCACCCCCCATTCGGCACACCCCTCACACGCTTCGTGGCACCATAGGGAGCTCCACCGAAGGCCCCAGTGGCTGCGTTCGCATGGCGGCACCGCGCCCAATTTGGCACACCCATCGCACGCTTCGTGGCACCATAGGGAGCTCCACCGAAGCTCCCAATGGCTGCGTTCGCATGGCGGCGCCGCACCCAATGTGGCACACCCCTCACACGTTTCGTGGCCCCATAGGGAGCTCCACCGAAGGCCCCAGTGGCTGCGTTCGCATGGCGGCGCCGCACCCAATTTGGCACACCCCTCACACGCTTCGTGGCCCCATGGAGCTCCACCGAAGGCACCAGTTGCTGCGTTCGCATGGCGGCGCCGCACCCAATTTGGCACACCCCTCACACGCTTCGTGGCCCCATAGGGATCTCCACCGAAGGCCCCAGTGGCTGCGTTGGCATGGCGGCGCCGCACCCAATTTGGCACACCCCTTTCACGTTTCGTGGCCCCATAGGGAGCTCCACCGAAGGCCTCAGTGGCTGCGTTGGCATGGCGGCGCCGCATTCATTTCGGCACACCCCTCACACGCTTCGTGGCCCCATAGGGAGCTCCACCGAAGGCCCCAGTGGCTGCGTTCGCATGGCGGCGCCGCACCCATTTCGGCACGCCCCTTACACGCTTCGTGGCCCCATAGGGAGCTCCACCGAAGCTCCCAGTGGCTGCGTTCGCATGGCGGCGCCGCGCCGAAGAAGATGTTCACTATTCCGGTACGCACAGCTGCATATGGTTGGGTCCTTCGCCAGGCTAATGTTTGAGAATCTCTTCCTTTTCGTCGAAAATCCCCCTGTCGGGGGACACGCCCGGCTAAAACCTTTTATGTTTCAGAATCTCTTCCTTTTCGTCGAAAGCCCCCCTGTAGGGGGACACGCCCGACTTACACCTTTTATTGTTGAGAATCTTCTCTCTTTCGTCAAAAATCCCCGCTGTAGGGGGACACGCCCGACTTAAACCTTACATATGTGAGGATATCTTCCTCTTCGTCGAAAATCCCCCTGTACTTTGATGAACGCGAAGCAGTAAGTATTCATAAATGGTGATGCTATGTTAGAATCCTATAAAGGATCCAGGATAGGTTCGGATGCTATTTCGGATTCTATAGGGTGGCCTTTAGCTTTAGTGACGATTAGGTCCACTGTCTTACTATAGGCGCTATAGGCTCCTATCATCAGATATAGTTGCGAAGCCTAAAGCTGTCTATTTTTTGTATGGTTCACTATGTTTTCACTATTGTTCATTATTTTCGATATGTTTCATTATTTTGTATTATTTTTCAATATGGTTTCGTTATTGTTTCATTATTGTTCACTCTGCTTCACTATTTTCCACTATGTTTCACTATTTTCCAGCAGTTTCCATTATTTTCCATATTTCTACTATTTCTCATTATTCTTTGCGAGAGGCGGCGGTTCGCTTGACTCTCGAGCCGTGCGCCCGACGATCTCTCCCGTCGAACCGTGCGCTCGACATCCTCGCTTGAAAAAAACGCTGCGTTCCTACCGTGTCCCTCCCGTGTCTCTCCCGTGTCCCTCCCGTGTCCCTGCCGTGTCCCTCCCGTGTCCCTCCCGTGTCCCTCCCGTGTCCCTCCCGTGTCCCTCCCGTGTCCCTCCCGTGTCTCTCCCGTGTCCCTCCAGTGTCCCTCCCGTGTCCCTCCCGTGTCCCTCCCGTGTCCGTGCCGTGTCCCTTATGCCACTCCTCCCGTGTCCCTCCCGTGTCCCTCCCGTGTCCCTCCCATGTCCCTCCCGTGCCCCTCCCGTGTCCCTCGCGTGTCCCTCCCGTGTCCCTCCCGTGTCCCTGCCGTGTCCCTGCCGTGTCCCTTTATGTCGCTCCTCCCGTGTCCCTCCCATGCCCCTCCCGTGCCCTCCCGTGTCCCTCCCGTGTCCCTCCCGTGTCCCTCCCGTCCCTCCCGTGCCCCCACTCCTCCCGTGTCCCTCCCGCGCCCCTCCCTTGTCTCTCCGCATGCTTCCTCCGTGTCTACCCCATTGGGTGTTATCTGGATGTTGCCTGGGTGTTGTCTGGTGGTGTTGTGTGTTGTTGTTTGTTGTGTTCAGTTGCGTGTTGTTGTGTTCTGTTGTTGTCTGTTGTTTTTTTGTTGTCTTGTGTTGTCTGGGCGCGCCCGCACAAAAAAAAACAACACCAACAGAACAACAAACAACAACAAACAGCACGTTCTAGGTCGTTGTTTGTGTGCTGTGGTTGTTGTCTGTTGCTGTTGTTTGTTGTTTGTTGTTGTGGTTTGGTGTTTTTGTTGTCTGGTGTTGTCTGGTGTTGTCTGCTCTCTCTCTCTTTCTCTTTCTCTCTCTCGCCCCCTTTTGGTTCACCCCTTTTTTTGGTTTAGAAAATATGTTAAACCATATGTTTTAACACGTTTAATGTCTGTTATGTGTTATTGTTTCTTGTATGTTGTTTGTTGTGTTGTGTTTGCTTTTTGTTGTTATACTGTGTTTGTTTTCATGTCCGCGTTTTTTCTTCTACAATTTCTTGTTGTTTGTGCCTCCTCCTCCTGCTGCTCCTCCTCCTCCTCCTCCTGCTCCTCCTGCTCCTCCTCCTCCTCCTCCTCCTGCTCCTGCTCCTCCTCCTCCTCCTCCTCCTCCCCCTCCTGCTGGGAGATCCTCCTCCTCCTCCTCCTCCTCCTCCTCCTGCTCCTCCTCCTCCTCCTGCTTCTCCTCCTCCTCCTCCTGCTGGGAGATCTGTTGGGTTCTCGTGGGAGGAGGGGGAGGCGGAGGAGGAGCGGGCCAACCGCTTTGTTTCAAGAGTTTGCGAACGGCTTCACTACTTTCCAATATTTTTTATATGTTTAAACTATGCTCACTATTTTTCACATTTAATCATTATTGTTCCACTTGTTTTTACTATTTTTCGCTATTTTTCACTTTTTACATTTTTCCACCATGTTTCACAATTTTTCACATTGTCTCACTGATGTTCAATATTTTTCTACTAGTTTGCACTATTCCATGCTATATGTTGATACAATCCTAAAGAAACCTATAGGACGATACAGCTTTCTATAGTCTTCGCGTGCATCAGAGTAGGGGGACACGCCCGACTTAAACCTGTTATGTTTGAGAATCTCTTCCTTTTCGTCGAAAATTCCCCTGTAGGGGGACACGCCCGACTCAAACCTTTTATTGTTGAGAATCTTCTCTTTTTCGTCATAAATCCCCCTATAGGGGGACACGCCCGACCTAAACCTTTCATGCTTGAGAATATTTTCTTTTTCGTCGAAAATCCCAGCTGTAGGGGGACACGCCCGACTTAAACCTGGCTCCTGGCTCCCCGCTGGCTGAATCGGGTCGGGCGAAAGGGGGGGATAGCAAAGGGGGGGTTTGAGCATCAGCTCCCGTAGCTGATTTTCCTGGCGCCTCCCGGCGCCGGAGGCGGCTATGTATCGAGGAATGGGCCCCTCGGTGAGGCCGAAACCAGCTGCATGCAGCAAATTTCGTAACCCCCCCTTTCCCAATCCCACCTTTCGCCCGGCCCG